TCTACACCCAGTTAGTGTGCAGTCCATACACTGCCCTCCTAAAGGTGGTAGTCAGATTACTATGAGTTCAAGGCCAGCCTGAGCTAGAGAAAGAGACCCTGCTTCTCCCCCCAAAAACAAAAAAAGTTTGTCTACAAGTTCACATGTGTCAAGGACATGGAATATTTTCATTTTTAATAGATTGTCTTTGATTCTTTACCATAAACACAAATATCCATTTAGGAATTAAAGGAATATTTTTCCTGATAATTAACATTTTTCTTTGAATAGCTCGATTCTTTGGAATGCCAAGTGCTTATTAGTCACTAACATTCTGGTTGCTAGTGCTGTTTTGTGTGTGTGTGTGTGTGTGTGTGTGTGTGTGGTGTGTGTGTGTGTGTGTGTGTGTGTGTCCATCCCATTTGATATGTAACTACCAAATAGTAACTTATTTATTTACTTATTTGGGGTTTTTGAAACAGGGTTTTCCTGTGTAACTCTGACTGTTCTGGAACTCACTGTGGACCAGGCTGGCCTCACACTCACAGAGATCCACTTGCTTCTGCCTACTGAGTGCTGGGATTAAAGGCGTGCACCACCACTGCCCAACCCAAATCAGTAAATTCTTTAACCTGCAATGACTCAAAATTCAATAAATTGGTGTGGAAAGGTAGTAATTTAGCTCAGTAGGTACAACTGAATAAAACTGGTCAAAAGTCAAAACTTGTACATTGGGAGCTACAAAATGTTGAGTGGCCATTAAAATAGGTAAAGGGACTTGCCGCTAAGCTTGAATTTGATTCCCAGGATCCATGTGGTGGAAGGAGAGAACAGACTTCTTCAAGTTGTCCTCTGACCTCCACGTGTACTCCATCGCATGTATGGCCTCCAACAACCAGGTGCGTGTGCGTGCACACACACTACGTAAATGTAATTTTAAAAATTAATATTGAGGTGCTGGAGAGATGGCTTAGAGGTTAAGAGCACTGGCTGCTCTTCCAGAGGTCCCGAGTTCAATTCCCAGCAACCATATTTGTAGTGGAATATGATGCCCTCTCTGGCATAAAGGTGTACATGCAGATAGAGCACTCATATACATGAAATAAGTAAGTCTTTTTAAAAAATCAATGTTGAAAGAGATTCAAGAGGCACTTACTGTTGATAGATTAGGAAGTGATGCACACAGACAGGCGTCAGAGTTCAAGCTCACATCTTTGGGAACAGCCTTGGAACTCTACAGGACCTGAAATAGCTCTCATCTCCAGGTTTCAGAATGTGTGGTTTGCACTTGTATGTGGAGCAATGGGAAATAATTGAGAAGCCAGAAGTAGTATGTATGCCTTCTCAGTGCACCCCTCCCCCATCCAGTAGATGTTCATAGCAATTCACATTGAACCTCTCTTCAGTAAACAGTGGCTATTGAAAAGAGGCTACAACTGGCTGCTCTCCCAGAAACAGAATTTGGACCCACAGTCACAGGTAGAGTTCCTGGAAATAAAACAGGAAACAGAATTTATAACCTCGGATTAAGTAATTTCCTAGATTTGACAACAAAACCACAAGCAATAGCAACAAATATATATATTGGATCTCATTGCAGTTAAACACTAGGACCTGAGGTCGTGGCACAAATGAACCCAGCATTTAGAACTCGATTGTGTGTATTAGATGGGGCAAGTTCTAGGTCAGCTAGGGATTTAAACATTTTATTTTCTTTTTATGCTTCAAAGAATGACATCACTGAACACATGCCCCTGGGTTCAATCATCAGGACTGGGGGAGGGAGGGAGATGGGAGAAGAGAGAGAGGGAGAAAATATATAAGCCGAAATAAATTGTGTGTGTGTTTATATCCAGACTATAAAAAATAATGCTGGAGATCTCAGTCAGTGGTAGAGCACTTGCCTCAGATACACAAGCTTGTGGGTTCAATCCTCAGCACACGCACACACATTTTGAGGGGATGATTAAAACACAGTAAAAGGTCAGAGGTCCTGACACCTTTTTCCAAAGGTGATGGATATTAGAAAAGCCAAAGGACATGAGGTGCAGAGCTGACAGAATTAGTCATTAGGGAAGGCAGAGTAGGTCAGTACAGGGGAGATCACTTCATGTCAGCTAGGGCGGCTAGCATGAAAAAGACCCCACGGTGTAAACTGCACTGTGAGAAGTTGGGGTCTCACATTGCTGGCAAGAATGTGAAGTCTGCAGTCATTGGAAAACAGCAGTTCCTCAGTTAGCATGTGACTTCGCATTCCATATTGGGATGTGCTCCAGGAAATGGCTGTTGACACCATAACCTGTGCATGGATGTCTACATCTTAAATTGGTGTCATTCCTAATAGTCAAGGTGTTGCAACAGCCACATATCCGTTCGCTGATGAAGATATTAACAACTGGTTTGTTCACATTACTGGTATCTCCCCCAACCATGGGGATGGATTTCAGAACATCCTCTGGGTGCTGGAGACTACAAGAAGCAGTAGACCGTGGCTGCTGATTTCCTCTATACATCCCTGTGTAAGTTAGGCACAGCAAGAGATCAGTGGTAACTGATGATAAAATAATTGAAACTGCAGTTGTAATGAAAGTTATTTGAAACTTAAATCTTTGCTTTCTTACCTCTTTGAAAACACGGTAAAACCTCAGAAAAGGGAGGACTACTATCTGTAATTTATAAGTTTAATTATGGCAGCACCTTAGATTGTTGTCTTATTGTGGTTAAAGGACTGGATTTTAATGTACTAACAAAATTTTGGTGTGCTCTGCCAAACCTGATGAGCTGAGTTCTATCCCTGAGAACCACATGGTAGGAGAGAACAGAACAGATTTCTGAAAGTTGTCCTCTGACCACCACATGCTCATGTGTACATGCATACATACATACATACTGTCATATAAAAAGAAAAGCATTTCAGCTGGGTGTGGAGTGCTTGCCTATAATCTCAGCATTTAAAAGACTGAGGCAGGAGGATACTAAGTTCAAGGCCAGCAGGGTTGCATAGGGAGGCATTGTCAAAACAAGATTGGGGCTGGAGAGATGGCTCAGCAGTTAAGAGCTCAGCACCCACAACCATTCATAGGCACACACATTGTGCACATACATACAGGTAGGCAAAACATTCATACATGTAAATAAATTTTAAAAAAGGAAAATGTGACAAAAGTTTAAGGTAGTAAATGTGCAAAATACTCCAAGTTGATAATTATCTGGTATACATATGAATTAGAACGTTATTATACCCCATAAATAGGTTAGTCGATAGTGAGGGTGTCAGACAAATGTGTAGAGTCGGTCCACTAAAGCTCTTTCCCTTTGTTAGAAAAAGCCATTGTGTCTGTCCCCTTTCAACCTTTGACCCCTAATCTACCTAGCTTAATAATAAGCAGCTTATGGGTTTCCAAACAGATTAGAAGTATCAAGTTGGGATGACTAGAAAAGAACGTGTTATGAACACAATTCAGTGTAGAAGCTTTGATATGCACGCAGTGTGTGATTGGACTAAATGGTGGGGGGCTTAGGTACAGATAAACCTGAGGGGTTGGCTTGTGATGAGAGTAGTATCCTCGTGAGTGGCGGTGACTGCAAGCTTGCTTCTCCATCTGACTGACTGCAAGTGGTTTGTTGTATTAATATTTATTTTATGTCCATGGCATGGGCTTATATTGCCAAAGTGTGCAGAGGTCAAAGGACAACTTTTGGGGCTGGAGAGACGGCTCGGAGAGCACTGGAAGCTCTTCAAGAAGACCTGGGTTCTGCTCCCAGCTCCCACATGGTGGCTCATAACACCAGTAACTGCAGTTCCCCGGGATCCAGTGCTTCCTGGCCTCAGTTCTTTCGGAACATACACGTACATACTGGCAAAATACTCATTTGTAAATTAACAATAATCTTGTTTTTAAAATGGACAGACTTTGACAATCACCCATTTCCTTCCACCATGTAAGACCCAGTGTTGAACCTGTTAAACAGGCTTAGCAGCAAGTTCCTCTGTCTGCTGAGCCATCCTTAGGTCTATGTTTGAAGAAATAGGGTATTCTATCTCTCTAGGGGAGGTGGTCAGCCTCCAGGTTTCTTTGGGTAGCCTTTAATAGAAGGAGCTTATCTACTTTTTTCACATACTTGTTTATATTTGCTTAGTCTTTGATTAAGAAAGTTATCTTGATGGGGGCTCGAGAGATGGCTCAGTAGTTAAGAGCATTGGCTGCTCTTCCAGAGGATCTGGGTTCAATTTCCAGCACCCACATGACAGCTCACAACTGTTTGTAACTCCAGTTCCAGGGGTTCAGTGCCCTCACACAGACATATATTCAGGCAAATCACCAGTGCACATAAAAATAAATTAAAAAAAAAAAAAAAGACTTTTGGGAGTTAAGTTGGTCTAGTAGGTAAGTGGCTGAAACAAGATTTGATCCAAAATTCCAACCCAGGTTAAATTTCTTAAGGAGAAAGAGAAATGGAAGGGAGGGATTCAGTTTTGAAAATTGAAATATTTGGCTATCAATTATAAATAAATAAGACACAACTGCCATATGGAGCTTGAATTCTGTAGACTGGCACATACATAGGCAGGAGTCCTGCACAAGGTGATGTATTGAGTGATGTGAAAAGCACGGGTGAAGGGGAGGGAAGTGGCATTGGAGCTGAGTGTTGAAGAATCAAAGGAGTTTCCCAGAAGCAGAGTACCTTGCCCTCCCTGTTCATGGGGAGGGGATAGTCTCTCCTTTTAGCTGGATTGATGCCAGGGATTAGGTGACATTGGAAGGGATTCTGGGTGGTCATTGCCTGTCTGTTATTCTTCCTCTTCTCTCTGAGATTCCCCGTTACTTTTGTCTGCTCCCAGAGCAGTTATTTGAAGTGCTTTGGTCTCCCCTGGTAGGCACAGCTGATCCAGCAGTCTGCCTGGGAATTGCCTGGCTCTGGCCTCTGAAGAGGACTGAGCCACACAAGTAGCCAGCTTCAGTAGTCATTGTGTTGGTGGTACCTTAATTTAATTGGAACTCTTCAACCTTGTGTTTTAGGAACACGAATCATTTATGACCGAAAGTTTCTGTTGGATCGTCGCAATTCTCCCATGGCACAGACCCCGCCTTGCCATCTGCCCAATATCCCTGGAGTCACCAGTCCTGGCACCTTAATTGAAGACTCCAAAGTAGAAGTGAACAACTTGAACAACCTGAACAATCATGACAGGAAGCACGCAGTTGGTGAGGGGCTGAGCTGGGGAGGTGCTGGAGTGGACTGTAGACTGGGACATGCTGCTTCATCAAAGCACAGCTGAGTGTGGTCGTGCGCGTGACGTGTCCTCTCCTCCTAAACATCTACTGAAGTGCTTTCAGTTTCCACCTAATTGCTAGGGAAAACCAAATCAGGATGGGAACCAGATGTAGTGATTTACACCTTCAGTCCCAGCACTCAGGAGGCAGATACGGGCAGGTCTCTGGGAGTTAGAGGCCACCTGGTCTATATAGGTAGACACAGTCTTTTAATTTTAATTTTTTTTTTTGTTTTTTTCGAGACAGGGTTTTTCTGTGGTTTTGGAGCCTGTCCTGGAACTAGCTCTTGTAGACCAGGCTGGTCTCGAACTCACAGAGATCTGCCTGCCTCTGCCTCCAGAGTGCTGGGATTGAAGACATGTGCCACCACCTCCCGGCGATGCAGTCTTTAAAAAGGATGACAACCCTGGGGGCTGGAGAGATGGCTCAGAGGTTAAGAGCACTGACTTTCCTTCCAGAGGTCCTGAATTCACTTCCCAGCAATCACATGGTGGCTCACAGCCATCTGTAATGAGATCTGGTGCCCTCTTCCGGCTTGTAGGCACACATGCAGCCAGAACATTGTATACATAATAAATTAATCTTTTTTTTTTAAATATTTATTTATTATGTATACAATATTCTGTCTGCATGTATGCCTGAAGAGGGCACCAGACCTCGTTACAGATGGTTGTGAGCCACCATGTGGTTGCTGGGAATTGAACTCAGGACCTTCGGAAGAGCAGGCAATGCTCTTAACTGCTGAGCCATCTCTCCAGCCCAAATTAATCTTTTTTTAAAAAAAAAAAGATGGCAACCCAAAGGTGAATTAGAACCATGCCTAAAGTTACATAGACACAATTGCACACACACGTTGTCCCTGCGACCTCCTTGCATGAACAAGTGCACATGCACACATTTCACCTCAAAGCAGAATCTTAGGCCACCTGCTTCCATCAACCCCAGAAAGAAAACCTGACCAAGTGGTGGTGGTGGCACACGCCTTTAATCCCAGGTGGATCTCGAGGCCAGCCTGGTCTGCAGAGCAACTTCCAAGATAACTAGGGCTACACAGAGCAACCCTGTTCCAGAGAGAGAGAGAGAGAGAGAGAGATCTACCATCTTCATTGAGTGACTATAGTGGGCTGCCCTGCACCAGAGCAGGACGAGATGAGGTGGCCTTGTGCTCACCTCAGACTTTGTGTTTCATGTTTTCTGAAACTCCAGTTAAGGTGTTTTCATTTTTGTTTGTTTACTTGTGTTTTGGTTGGGAGGGGGGCAAGGTCTCGCTCTTGGCCAAGGCTGCAGAAAATTCACCATGAAGCCCAGACTGGCCTCAGACTTCCTGAGTGCCTGAATTCTGGGTGTAGGCTGTCACACCTCTCTCCTCCCACCCCACTGCAAGTGTCAGTTCAGAGCGGGAGCCAGGTTCAAAGCCTCCAGAAGTGTGCTCCCTTGAGTGACCAGGAGCTGCCATGGGGTTGGTCTGTGGAAACTGGAAACATCCCCTTACATGTCACCTGGTGTGACTCTCCTCTCCACACCCACCCCCAGATGAGACTGACTGGCCAAAACAAAAATAAATGAGGTTTTATTGCTATGTAGCCCAAGCTCACCTCAAATTTAAGTATTGAATTTGAGTGCTAGTATTACCCTCAGGAGTAGGTATCGTGGGCCACAGGAAACAGGATTTTTTATTAGTTTTGCCCTTTGCAGGTAGAGAAAGACGTTGAAAACAGCTTTGCTGGGCTGGAGAGATGGCCAGGCCGAAAGACTCTTGTCTTAACCTGCAAAATAGCATTCAGATTAAATGTTCCGTCCTGTGGCCAGCCCACTCCGAAAGTGGGCCACTCCACGGAACAGAACGCTTGCCAGCATTTCTTTCGGATTACCATAGACTGGTTGCGAGCTCTGCCCTCAACCTCTTTCCAGTGGTCTAAAGTCAAAGTTAAGGGGGTAGTTATTTGTTGTCCCATTGTACTAGATTCCAACTCAAAAACAAACACAAAGACAAAAACAACAATACAAAATGACAGACACAGACTCAAAACTGAGAGCCGCGCGGCAAGAAACTGATACGAACCTGGAAGGGAGTGGGCGATAAGGGCCACGCTCCCTAGAAACTAAGATGACCTGGTCGCTCCTAGTTTCACAAATTGCCAGTGAAGCGTCCTCCACGGCTGGGCCAGGGAGTGTTCCCAGACACGTCTGTCCCACTGCCTGGTCCCCTTCAAATACTAGCCCTGCGCAGGTACAGTATTCCTTCAAATTTCATAAACATAAAGCACAATAACAGAAATAGACAAACATAAAACATTCAGACGAGCGCGCTCTTACCTCCAACCGGGTCAGGAATGGGTCTGAGGGCGACCAGCACTTCCCGGCCAATGCACCAAATGTTGGGCCCTAAAGCCCCACCAAGGAGGAGGTCGCCCCAAGAGACACTCACAACATGGTTGATCCAATAGCAATTCTGCCGCGGCAGAGGTCCCCCAGCCTCGAGAGGAGAAGGACGACTACTTTGTCTATTACAAGCTCTTTTAAAGGAAAAAACCACAAAATCAGGGAGGGGGGAGTACAAAATCAAAGGGAAAGCCCAAAAATCATTTGTCTACTATTTTGACTAGTTCATTTAACGGTCAGCTAACTCTACTTAATCAATGTTGTAACAGTTACAAGGAGGAGCCTTGATCAATGTCATGGTTACAAGGAGGAACCTTGATCAATGTTATGGTTACAAGGAGGAGCCTTGATCAATGTTATGGTTACAAGGAGGAGCCTTGATCAATGTTATGACGGGTACAAGGTCTTCTCACCCCAGTTCCAGGGTCCGGGTCTATACATACTTTGAGATAGAAAGTCCTCAAAGCTCTCGTGCACGTGTTGTTGGTTACCAGGGCCCTGGTTCCCAGGAAGGGGGGTGCAGTAGTGCTAAGGTGCCTCTAAGTCTTTCAAGAGCACTGATTGCACTTCCAGAGGTCCTGAGTTCAATTCCCAGCAACCATATGGTGGCTCACAATCATCTGTAATTCAGTTGGGTTCCCTTTTCTGGCATGCAGACAGAACACTGTATACATAATAAATAAATAAATAAAGAAATAAAGAAAGAAAAAAACTACTAAAAAAAAAGAAAACAGCTTTGTTATTACTCTTTGTACTAAACTTCTCTTTTCTTTCCTTCTAACCAGGGGATGAGGCCCAGTTTGAAATGGACATCTGACTGCTACGCAATCTAAGGAGGCTTCAGCACAGCGGCCCATGTGACCTGACTGGGCCAGTAGGAACGCAGTGAACCGAGAAGCCGGCAGTTCCCCTCCCCTCCCTCTGGGTGCCAAATGATGGGAGATAAAGCTCCATTGACCACAACCTCCCTGTCTCCTGCCCCTGCCCCGTTAAGGTTAGGATGAAAGCCCTTGGATTACTCTGGAACTGAGCGGTTGGTCCTTGGAGGAAAGCAGTCCCTGTAACTTGCCTGTTCATTTCCTAAGAATCTTCTGCCCCCTTCTGATTTGCCCCAAGTCCAGGAACTCTCTAAGAAGAAGCACCGCTGCTTGGGGTGACTGGGGAGGGAAGGAGGTTTGGTGCCCATTGCTATTCCTGTACTCTCTTCTGTCTTCCTCCCTGCATCCCATTGGTGAGTCAGTGCTGGATGTGGGATCTTTAAACCATTCTGAAGAATGATAAACAAAATGAGCTGCTTGCCCTATCCCTGGAGATGTTTGTCCTTGGTACTGGAGCACAGCTCTTGTACCTCCTGTGTGTAGCTCCGACCGCATTCCTGGGACACATGGCGTGAGCTCCCTTTTCTCTAGGGAGAAGGCTTCTGTCCTGGGTGTGATGGCTCATCTCTTATCTAATTCATTGGCACAGGTATTTTTTAAACCTGCCTTCTGAAGAGACCCCTGGGTGACCAGGTGGTCTTTGCTTGTCTGCCATTCTTCCTACCTGCATCTTGCAGGCAGAGTCTTCTTTACTCCAAGATGCCCTGGGACTTCTGTCTGCTCCCAGAGCAGTCATTTAAAGTGCCAGTGCTTTGGTCGTTGTTACCTGGTGGGCACAGCTGGTCCCAGCGGTCTGCCTGAGAATGCCCTAACTCTGGCCTCTGTAGAGGACTGAGCCACACAAGTAGCCAGCCCTAGTAGTCGTGGTTTAAACCTGATAGACTTTACCAGGTTTGCTGCCCTGCAGTTTATTATATTTTGAGTTTAAAGTTGACTCCCCTATTCCCCTCCTCTGAATCTGCTTTATCCTTGGCTGCCGAGAGAGAAGCATGGGCTGAAAGAGTGCGTTCCTCCCAGTTTCCTTCTCCTCCTCCTCATTGTAGACCTTCCTTCTTCCCTTCCTTTTCTCCTTTTCAAACCTCACTCTCTTTCCTTCTGGTTCTTCCACCAGGCCATTTTCTAAATCTACATCAAAGATACCTCCCATGTTGGTATCTGATAATATCTGTCTCTTATCAGAGGAGAGACTTTTTATTTTTAAGATGACTACAGACCTATTTTTAGATAAGTTTTCAGTACGATTTTGAACTGCAACTTTTTTAACAAAACATCTTCCAGTATTAGGAAGGTTATAAAAAATTGTTCCTAGGCAAGTCTGCTGTCTTCACTGTTGGTTATCTCTCATAGTTCCTTATGAGGGCTTTCCTGTGCTCTCAAGTTTAGGGGGCTATTTGGAGTATAGTGGTTTGTGAAGCTGGACTAGTCTGCCTTGCTATGAGTTGTTGGCGAAAACTTCATTCTTTTCTTTTACCTTTTGGCTCTCTTGCTCCACCCTGCCCCACTCTCCTGGTACTGTGGCCCGACAGGGAGATCCCGGGAGAGAGGCCCCCATAGGCAGGCTGCTGCATCCGTCCTCCTACAGGAAGGCAGTACAGCAGCCACTGGTGTCCTTGAAGTCACAGAGATCCTCCTGCCTCTGCCTCCCGAGTGCTGGGATTAAAGGCATGTACCACCACCGCCCGGCTTTTCCTGGGAATTTCTGATTCTTTTGGATGCCTGTCTAAGCCCTCTTAGTAAGATTTCAGATCCCCATTGTCTGGGAAAGTCAGTTGTTTTTCCTTTGCACCATGGAAAGACCCTGTTTTGTGAAGACTTTAGGAAAAAGGAAGGACATCTGCAGAACTTGGTCTGTCTCCTGCCACACAATGTGAATAGCTCGTACCGCAGCCCTCTGTGACGATCGCTGTCTCAGGAATAAGCTGGGTCTCCAATGTTTGGGGATTCTTGGAGTCTCCAAGTTGATAATCAGAAGAGTTTTATTTCTTTGTTAAATGTATCTGTTATGTTTTTAATTAAACTCCAAGTTTTATTTCATGGAGTCTTGGGAAAACTTAAGTTGTGCTGCCGTTGGCATAAGCAGCTTGCTCAGGACCTCTGTACCCTGGAGCTTCATTCTCCGCGAGCAAGGCTCATGGTTCTTCGCACACTGGTGTTGGCACTCTGTGAACGCTGCAGTGAGGAGGCGTGAGTGTGCAGAAGGATATATGCTTCCTCATTGAATGTTGTCTGCAGCAGAGTGGCTTCCTGGACCCACCACTGGGAAGGGAGACATGGCAGCTGAGTAGGATAGAGAAACTTTCCTTTTTCTTGCCATCTTGGAGAGTCTGCACGTGCACCCCTCCTCAATCAGAAAACATGTCTAGTATTCCTTGGAGTGTCACCTGTGTGGTGCAGGAGCCTTTTAGCCTTATGTCCTCTGCCAGGACCCCTCACTGCTTGGTGCAGGCCTTATATGAAGGCCACCTGTTCTTTGACCTCCACACATGAGCATTGTAAGATAATTGCACAAGGCAAGACATAAGCTTCCAGCAGATGGCATTTTTGTGCCATGCCTCATGAGCCATTTTCTAGTAAGCAGGGTCCAGTGGGGGTTCACCTCTGGGTGATCCAAAGGCCTCACAGCTGGAGCCTTAAATGGAGGGTATATGGTCCTAATCTGCCAGTCTCCTTCCTGAAGGAGACAGTTATTTAAACCTTAGTAGCCATCTACACTGTTGCTATGAAGGATGTGTTTCTGCACTTGTGACAATCAACCTACATGAGGAAGAAGCTCCAGCCCTGGTGGGAGACACCAGCAGTGCCCTTCCTCCTGAGTTCCCAGCCCTTGTGTTCTGCTCAAATAGGCGCTTCCTTGCCTCCTCCAGGGCACTGGAGTGAAAAAGCTGGCTTCTAGATAGAGTTATCTACTGCTGTGTAACAAATTACCTGCCAGCCTAATATCTCACAATAGTAAACACTACCTGTTGGTGTCTCAAATAGGGTTAGGGGCTTCTCAGCATGAAGCTTTAGCATGAGGTCTCATGGAGGTGCATGTAGTCTGTGGGTGGGGGCTGCTCTCATCTGGAGCTGGAGAATCCCACTTCCATGCTTTGTTTTTGTGGTTGTCAGCAGAGTGCCTCCCTCGTTCCGTATGGGACTCTGTAGGTATCATGCCATAGCACCTAGCTTCCTCTTGAGTGACTGATCCTAGAAAAGGAGGTGGGTAAGAAGAAAGTTGCAGTGCCTTTACACCACCGTGTCCCTAACAGGAGGAAAGTAGTCCTCAGGGAAATGGGATAGCCACAGCCATAAGCTGGGTGCACATTGCTATCAGATCAGCCCTCTAAAATGGGACCAAACTGGGATAAAAGACTTCTCTTTCCCCAAAGCTACCCATTTGTCTTAAGAAAAGCGGCAGGAAATGGAGATTCCCAGATCCGTTGCATCCCCCCATCTGCCTGTTCTCAAGAACGCTTGCTTTTATGAGATTCTGAGGTGGCCTCTTCAAGCGTCATTTACCCCTTCTGTCTTCCTTTAGCCCAGAGTTGACAAAAGGAATTGAGGGCCTTTCTGTGCAGCCATACAAACTTTCTTAGCTGGAGCGGTGTTTGGCAGAGGAATCAAAGGGCATTAGATGTCAGGTTCATGAGTTACAGGGCAGAAAGCAGTTCAGGTTCTTGATATTGAAGTCAGATGCTACCTGCATGCATTGGTCAAGGTGTCCCACCCAGATCATAAACCAGGGACACCTGAAAAATGCAGATGTCTGTCTGTACTTGATTGCTCTGGTCAGTGCAGCATGCAGAGTAGCCTGTTGCCTCCTGGACACTTTGATAGAAGGGTGCTCTTACAAAAAGCAGCAGTCATGTTTTCACCTGTAGGGGAAGCCACAGAGGTGGCTCACCAGTGCCTCGGATCTCATGGGATGTCTGCTTCTTCCTGCCATCCATTCTCCCCATCCTTAGATGGAGGCTCTTGTTTGAATTGGTGCTCTGTCTTCTGGCCTTTTCTTTTCTGTAGCTATGCTTGCTTTGGAGTGTATTTCAGGCTCTCGTGGTGGGTTTCTTTCTAGGGGTGAGGGATAGGGAGCTCTTGGGCCTCTCATCTGTTGTGTTTCACTGAAAGTCCATCCAACCTCTTGTATAGACTGCCACTGTGAGTGTACCAGGCGTGTGTCAGGTAGGGAGCCTCCTTCCCATCTGCATCTTGGGTGCTGGCTGCTTGAGGGGGGTGTGGTGGAGCCCTTTTTATTCCCTCTAGAGGAAAGGCACTACTGTCTTCACGTAGTTCTTTAGTGTGTTTTCTGGACTCCATGCCCATGGCAGCTGTTTAATGATCTGCGAAAACCCAATCACTGACCCATCCTTACCATGGAAGGCGGGATTTATAGTGGAGGAACACCATTTCTTCTTGGGGTAGAGGGTTCTGTCTGAGTTTTGAGTTACCCACAGCCCCTTGCCTCCCAGCCTTTAGTGACGGGAATTCGGGTTCCCGCAGTTGAGGCAGTCCTTCGGTGCTTGCCATCCTGCCGTGCTTCCTGCTCTGGCAGTGCTTTTCACGGTAGTGGTGGACTTTGTTGAAGCTGCTCACAGCTGAAGACTGTAAGGATGACTGACGGGTCCTCAATTTTCCAGTTGATCAGTCAAGATACCTTCCCCACCCTCTGAAACTAGCTTTCCTGGATGGCAGAGCTTACTTTCAAAGTCTTTGGGTGGTCTGTGGTTTCTCTCTGCTTGCTCAACTCTTCCTGCACCCTAGTGGGCCATACTGTGCCCAGGAGAAAAGGCTACTGAACTAGCGGAAACAGTTCCTAGTGGATACAAACTCCTGCTTACCTTTCTGAGGTGGAAGGGTGGTGATGAGAGGCCGAATGCCTGGTAGACACTTGGCTGTGCTGATACTTCCAAAGGGAGCTCCTCCCAGGGCTTCAGACCTAAATCCAGGACTTGTGAACTTAAGAGAATCCACAAATCTAGCACAGAATGCCCATTCTTGCCTCTATACCCCCTTCCTCTCCATTTCAGTCTTAAAAACTGCCCAGCCCAGGCCTGGGGGTTATGACTGGAGGGCAAGAGAGTGGGGACACCAGCAGGAGGTAGGGGCCAGCGTGACACCAATGCCTTGGCCCCCACTTCATGGCTCAACTTGAAGAATCCCAAGGACTCCGATTCCCAGTTGTCCATATTAAGAATCTGTTTTCTGATAGACCCTCCCCTGTTCACTGCTGCAGTCTTAGCCACATGGGATGGAATTTCAGAGGCTGCCAGTACTTTCCTTGGTCCTCCTACTTGGTTCCCTTGATGTGCTGTCCCCTTACCTCCCTCCCTTCGCTGTCAGCAATGGTCAGTGGAAGGTTCCATGCAATCCTAAGACAGTCCTGTGTGATTCCATGACCAGTTTGTTTTCTTACTGTCCTTCCAAGCCAGCAGGTGTTTGGAACTAGGTGAAAATTTCTCACCAACGGTTGCTGTTACAGCTAAATAAAGACATTGAATATTGACTTGGTGTTTTGTGGTGCTGGGCAGTGAACCCTGCATTTCACATATGCTACAGGCACACTTCACAGAGCCAGCCTGAACTTAGTATGTTAAGTTTTTTGTTGGTTTTTGAGATAGGGTCTCAATGTAAATTGCAAGATGACCTAGAACTTCCCATATAGACCAGGCTGGCCTTGAATGCAGAGTCACAAGCCTCAGCCTCTCAAGTGCTAGGTTTAAAGGCTTGTATCACCACACTTAGCCTCTTGGTATATTGATTTTATTTATTTGTTTTCCGAGATAGGATTCTCTGTGTAACAGCTCTGGCTGTTCTGGAACTTGCTCTGTAGATCAGGCTGGCCTCATTCACAGAGATCTGCCTACCTCTGCCTCTCCAGTCCTGGGATTAAAGGTGTGTGTTGTGGCCACCACCCAGCTTGCCTTTTTCTTTCTTTTCATTCCTTGTTTATTTGGGGTCAGATACCACACAGGGTTTGCACCTGAAACCCCACTGCTCAGGAGGCTGAGGCAGAAGGATTGCTGAAAGTTGGAGGCCAGCCTGGCCCACATACACACCCACACACCAGAACAGTGTCTGGTGTGCTGTTGCAGGTTGTTCACAATTGGCGAGTCTCAGCTAGAGAAGCCAGGCTGAAGAGACCTGCTGCTTTCTGTCTTCCTAGTGGATCACTGTCATTCTGGTCCTATGAGTGTGAGCACAGGAACTTAATGGCCTCTCCTTGCTCTGAGAAGCCCACCCTGCGAATATATCTTGCTCTAGACCAGTGGTTCAACCTTCCTAATGCTGTGACCCTTTAACACAGTTCCTCATATTGTGGTGACCCCGCCCCCAACCGTAAAATAATTTTCATCGCTATTTTATAATGGTAATTTTACTGCTGCTATGAATTGAGTATCTGATACACATATCTGGTATTCGACCCACGGGCGAGAGCCATTCTAGGCTGTGCTGCATGAGCCTGGCTTGGCTTTCTTGTCTTGGTGGCTGTGGACAGGTCAAGACAGTGTCATAGAGGTTTGGTGCTGGGCCTTAGATCTCTCAACCTCTGGTTCTATCAGGGTAAAGAAATGATTGTACGATCAGGAGAATCTGTGCCTAGTGCTGGTACAGCCAGTTCTTGGAGAACTCAATTGGTACACATCTGTATTCCATCACTCTAGACTGCATGGGCTATACTGAGACCCTCTGTGCAGATGTGGGTTAGAGCAGACAGAACTGTATAAAGCTAGGACTAAAGGGAACTCAGAACTGGGATAACCTGCAGAGCCTCTACTGGAGATGGAGGAATGGGGTCTTCCTGCTGTAGAAGGATTTTGTTTTTTTCAGACAGGGTTTCTCTGCAGCTTTGGAGCCTGTCCTGGAACTCATTTTGTAGACCAGTCTGGCCTTAAAGTCACAGAGATCCACCTGCCTCTGCCTCCCAAGTGCTGGGATTAAAAACAGCTTGCACCACCACTGACTGCCTGGCTAAAAGGGTTCTTAACATGGAGATAAACTCAAGTTATGGTGCAGAGGGTCACAACTGTCGCCCCTCAACTCTGTATCGTCTTGTCTCTGCTACTGCCAGACCCACCTGCACTGTTTGTGTGTGTGTGTGTGTGTGAGTGTGTGAGAGAGAGAGCTATTGTTTCTGCCCTTGGTCCTGCTTACAGTGTGTGTGTGTGTGTGTGTGTGTGTGTGTGTGTGTGTAAGGAAGCTATTGTTTCTGCCCTTGGCACTGCTTACACTTGCAGAACACTAGACCTTTGCCTCGAGAGCAAATATCTATAAAAGCCCTACATTCAGATAGGACAGTTATCAGAGGGAGTCCTTTGGGATGTTCAAGGCATCCTGCCAATGCATGGACCAGATCTGGAGCAGTTGTTAGACACTGGTACCCAGATAACCCGCAGCCAGCCAGTGGTCTTGCAGCTAGCATGATGAGCATAATCAACACATGTAGTTAATCACTTTGTGCCTCCAGCCCCAACTTGATATAGGCAATACCTTGTCACTAGGGAACTTCATCCCAAGTTCACAGAACAGCCAACACAAGCTGGAGTCAAACAGCTTGGCCTTCAGCCCTGCTGAAGTTCTGGCTGTGAAAGAACTGCAGGCACCTGCTTCCTAAAGCCCCCAAGAGGCCACTTCACTCCACTTCAGCTGTTGATAGTGGGCTGAGTCCTGAGGATCAAGCCTTTGGTCTAAGATAGGGTTAACCTAGTCCTCTAGATCCCATCCAGGTGCCCTGCATCTCTCAGCACTGCTGGGATATCCATAAAGGCCTTCTGGGGAAGCATTCAGGAAAGCCCTTGGAACAAGTGGATTCCATAACATTGTTTCAAAAATAAAATTTGGCTTGGCATGGCGGTAGAGATGAGTAATCCCAGCATTTGAGAATCGGAAGGAGAATTGCCTTGAGTTTGAAGTCAGTCAGAGCTAAAGGGAGACACTGACTCAAACCTCAACTTGGAACCCTGATGACTGAACTGCTCAGCTCAGAGCTTCTTAGACCCAGCTCTGCTGCTGAGTCATCTTAGTCAAGCCCAGGCTAGGTTGTAGCCAACCCAGTCCCTGCTTGGACCAGTCTCACTGCCTTGATTCAGCCACTGCTGGAGCAAAGGGGATGGGCATCCTAGGAGGAAGAGCTCCTGCAGACCTGCACACCCCCAAAGCAGCTCCATCCCCCAGCCAAAAGAAAAAGCAGATACCTTAGTGATGGAACTTGCCTCCCCCCCTCCCCACAGGAATTCTATGTGTAGCCCTGGCTGTCCTGGAACTGCTTTGTAGACCAGGCTGGCCTTGAACTCAGAGATCCACCTGTCTCTGTCTCCCCAGTGCTGGAATTAAAGGTTTTGGTGTTTGTTTTTTCGGGGGAGGGAGGTTGTAATAGAACTTTCTTTAGGCATCTGAGTTTCCTTCTCTGCTGCCATGCAGAATCAGGAGCTAGTCATGTCCCATCTCCCCCCCCCCCCCCCCCCCCGAAAGTGGTTTCAACAGGGCTTAGCAGGTCTTATGCTTTAAGGTTTAAAATCTCAAAAGTGGAAGAAGGCCCAGAGGACAAAGATCCATGGCCCTCCCTTTCAAATGCTTCGTTTTGTTTCGAGACAGGGTCTCACTGTGTAGCTCTGACTGTCCTAGAACTCGCCATAAAGACCAGCTCTGCCTTCCAATTGCTGTTAATTAAAGGTGTGCACCAATAGGCCCAGCTTTTCGTGCTGGGGTTTAATCCAGGGTCCTTCATATACTAAGTAAGTAGCTGCCACTGAATCATAATCATTCCCTAGCCCTTAGAGGTACTTCCTACAAACGAATCAGGCTCTGCCGCTTTTTTCACACACATCACACAGCCTCTCTGCAAAATCTATGACCACAGCCCCATGCCCTGCTGGTTTGGAACCTTAGAACCCCAAAACATACCTTGAGAGCCTGGGGTGATTTCTCACTGACTTTTAATAGACTTGGGTTATGTCTGCCAAGCAGATGTCTGACAGCTCTGGCTTCTGTAGTCCACCATGGCCAGTCCCTCTTGGATAAGTGCCCACCTCTCTGGTCAAAGGCACAGCTGGCCCTGGGAGAACTGGACAGTGGCTTTATTGTTTAGGCAACTCATTAGCAGAGATCATGGAGCCCCTGAGGAAGGCCAGCCCGTTAGCGCCAGCCAGCTAGAAAGTTGTGGGGGTTCCCCTAGCCCAGCTTGAATCAGGGAGCGCCAAATGGCTAGTTTTAATCTAATACAATTATACTGATCTTTAGGGAGGGACAGCGGGTCGCAGCCACTTTTAAGAATACAGGAAAGCTACGGGTAGCCTCAAAAAAAAAAATAAATACATATATACCTCAGCCTTTGCACATCATTTCTAGGGCTTCAGAGGTTAAAGAGCACTCGTGAAGTTCATAACCCCTATTTCCAGGGAGCCCAGCCATCCCCTGAAAGTTTTCCCTATTCCTGCCTCCTCACAGGCCTCTGGCCTGGCAGGTCTAAGAGCCCTGTAAGCACAGGGGGCAGGACTTCCTCTTCAGCTCTGGCAGGCAGAGCCCTTCTTCCGTTTCTGCTCCCTGGATGGACACTATGCGTCTCCCTGGAGTTTACCAGCATTGTGGAGGGCAAGCAGATTCAGCATTTGCCCTGGCTCTGTCAGAGGCACCCACATTCCTCCACAATCATGTCCTTATGGTGTTCCAGGAGCACCCTGCCATTGTCCACATAGAGCATGCTCAGTGGCTTGGTCTTTACAGGGGCACAGCACGTGGAAGGGACCCGGTGGGGCTGGTAGCGTTTCAGCAAGCTCTGAAAGGGAAGAAGGAGAAGGAGGGAGAGGCAGAATTAGTAATTCAGCTAAAGTGAAAAATTATCTTCATAAACAATAGGATGATTCACGTACAACCAATTCATGAACCCCCATGTCTGTGAAATAGTCTGTTGGCCTTGAAATAGACAGACTTTGGAGAAGAAGTTTAATGTCAGACAAGCAATGAGCGGGAGGAGGAAGACTCATCCAGTCCTAAAGTCCATTTTGAATGTCCTTTCCCAGAATGTCAGAGGAGCAGAGATCCTGTGTTCTGTTCCCATCACCTAATTAAAGGAACAAGGAAAAGCTGGGGATGCAGCTTAGTTGGTAGAGTGCTTGCCCAGCATGTTTGAGGTCCTGGATTTGAGCCCCAATATTGTAACAACTAGGCATAGTGGTGCATGCCTGTAACCCCAGCACCAGGGGGAGTGAATCCTGGGCCATGTTTGGGGCTGGCCTGGCGTGTGTGTGTGTGTGTGTGTGTTTAGAGAGAGCTCCCAGGATAACCCCACAGAAGAGGACTCAGTGCTGTGACACTCTACATCCTCATAGGAGCAAACATGGAAGTGCTTGAATGACCAAACCCAGTTATCTCATCACAGACTTTAAGCCCCATCCCATGTCTAGCAGCCTGTTCCATTCCAGGTAACGTACCTGGATATAGGCGTGGTTGGTAGGGTGAAACTCCTCCCCCACAGGGTTAGGGCACTCGCCCTCACAGCGGTAGGCA